ATTTGATTTTATTTGCTATAACGTCACTCAACCCCGTCGGCATTCAACTCCACATTTTCCAACACACAGACGCGCAAAAACCGCTGCAGGATGCACGAGATATTATTCATAGCAAAAAAATATTCCCTACTATCGCCTGACCTAATACTGATATTTTTACAAATTCGATTGAAAAACCCGGAGGTGTTACGGTCCATGGGGCCGAGGACCTCGATACAAATCGGTAAAAACTCCATCGAGGGGAGAGCTCCGTCGTACTTTTTGATCTTCTCGTCAGATGCCCTGGTTGCAGCCAAACCGCTTTCTTTGCTAGTAAGCTGCACGTAGCGCTCAGCAAAGGTGCCCGGAACGGTAAGGTCCCACGCCAAGCACCTGCCGGCTCTCCAAGGGATCAAGGTACACCCGTCAGGGCGTTTACCGTCGTGCGCCGCAATGCCCGACGGTTCCTTTAAAACCGGAATTGAGGCCTTGGAGAAAAGTCGGCACACAAAATCGTTTATGGCTGAATGTCGCTGCTGGCGACCTCCGCCCAAACGACAAACAAGACTATGATGGCCAAGTTCATCCGCCCCCGCGCCGCACCTGCATGTATATCGACTCTGAACGGCCATCCCCAGACGGAAGCCAATGGCTGTCCTGACCGTTTCGTCGTCCAATCTGGTACCCACCGACGTATTGTGCAAAGATCTCAGCCAGCCACAACTCGCCTCGCTGGATACTGCCAGCAAGCGAGCTGAGGTCGCCGAGTCAGGGCTTGAGGAAAGCAACTCTTTGAATGTGCGTTTATATGCTTCCTCCAAAATGTTGCCCTGGGAAAGGGTCTGTTGGTTGGATTGGAGTCGGTGGAGTACAGTGTAGGCTACTAAATTGCCGAAGAAGGGCAGACTGTAGGTCAAGCGTGGCAGATGCGGAAGATTTATAAACAATTGGTGCAAGCTGAACCACGCTTAGTAACCCCAGTTCCCCAGATCGTACCGGCAGCTGAGCCTGAGACCAACCCTTGTCGGTAATATCGACGTTACAAATTGCTGAGAGGGCCACCCGCAGAGCACCCTCAAATTCGCCCAAAATGGCCGCATTAACAAAGTTGGATGTGCGCAAAAAATACATCAATTTCGGCAAACTGAGGGCGCCGCGGATGATTGTCAGCGCGTTGTGGACCGGGAGAAGAGAGACACGTTCGAGGGCAAATCTTAGCTCAAAATGTTTTTTATTAAAAAACCTGTCCTGATGATCGCCGGCCATCATTGAAGTGCCTAAAAAATTTAATGATGAATGGGGCACTGTGGGGACATTAGCCAGCACGTGTGGCATTTGAAACGTGTCATTTACAAGTAGTTCACACTTGTTTGTGTTTAATTCAAGACCAATGATGGAAGCGCCGACCCTCAGCGACAGGAAGTCGTCCGCTAAGATGTTACCCTCTGCGGCCAAGCTGACATCGTCCAGGTAGCCACAAACAAACGCCGAGGATGACTTCGTCAACAGCGAGTGAAGGGTTAGAGCAAAAAGCATCGGTCCCAAAGGGTCGCCTTGCTGTACGCCCTCGCACGATTCAACCACCCAGGCGTCGTAACCAAGAGAAGAGACTCGGCCATATGCGGAATGACAAAAATTACAAATTTGAGGACAGTGCTGCTTAACTGCCTCTAACATTGAGTCTCTTCTCAGGGTGTTGAAAGCGTTCTTGAAATCAATCTTCAAGAATCCCCACCGTTTTGGAAGTGCTGAAATCAGTTCACGTACGGCGTGGACGGCCGCCTAAGCACCACCTTTCACACCGACGCCCAATTGGATAGGATAAAGTTTGGCTTTGACCTGTTCCAACACTAGCGCCAGAGCGCACTTACTGGCCAGCCTCCTCCAGAAATTCCCCACCGCGATGGGTCTGATCCCTCCATCTTTTTTGTTTAAAGCCACCAAACGGCCCCCAAAAAAGAAACGGCTAACCGCGAGAGGGCAGACCCCAGACAACAACAAATTTACAAACCGGGTGAGGTTATTTAACAATTCATCGGTGGGCGTCGGACCGGAAAGTAAATCCTTTATGTGCTGAGGCCTCAAGCTATCAAGGCCTCCCGATGAACCATTATTAAACGACTTTAAAACCGTCAACACCTGGGCTGGTGAAACGCGACCATTGGACGGCTCCTGCGCGGGGAAAGCTCGCCTGTTCAATGGAGCACTGGGATGAATAGCTTTGAGTTTAGCGAGTGTCTCAGGCGAGCTCTCCGCCAGGCCTGCGGGCGAACAAGCAAGTCTGACGGCCGCCGAGAGACTGCCCTGTTCAATCCGAGTGGTTACTGCACTAATCCAACTGTTTGGATTGTGCTTACGCGGTTTGGTGTTGTGGTCAGTGTTGAAGCTTGCCACAATAATCTCGACCTCGGTCGAACTGAATTCGGCCAACCGTTTAATAACGTAATTGGCTTGATTAGTCCTGCGACCGACCCTGGTGGGCTTGAACAAAACAAATGCGAAAAAACATTGGAGCCTGCACCAATGGGCCGCGTCGCAGGGATCATCGCAAACGGCCGTCAATAAAGCCGACAATGCTTTAGATACCTTGTCTCTGCACGGTTTGGGAACGTGATCATACAGATGGGCAGTCCTCAAAACGACCGTCAGCCGGTCAAAAACATGAAAATGTATGTATGTATGTATGTATGTGTGTATGTATGTATGTATGTATGTATGTATGTATGTATGTATGTATGTATGTATGTATGTATATATGTATGTATGTATGTATGTATGTATGTATGTATGTATGTATGTATGTATGTATGTATGTATGTATGTATGTATGTATGTTTATATATATGTATGTTTAAATGAATGGTTTTATGTATGTGTGTTTACATCATGTTTGTATATGTATGTATGTGTGTATACATTATGTTTGTATATGCAGATGCAGAGTAACACATTTCTATTTTTATCGGTCATCATTATGCGCGCGTATATTACAGCGATCCGCACATACGCCCACCATTAGGTCTGGGAAGGTTGCTTCCATCATAATTCTTTATTCTTCAACAATTTTTTTCCTGTATAAAAGAAGCGAAAATCGCAAACATAATGGCGGTTATTTTATTTTTTACCACTGCCGTGATTTTTAATAAAAGAATTTATATATCTTCATGCTTGTGCGAAAGTCAGGTCCGACATTATTCCTCGCAAATAAATGTTTAAGTCGTTTTAGGTAGTTCTCCTTATTGTTGAGAGGATGTTTGTGTCTTTCGTGTGGTGTCTGTCCCTGTAAATATTTCATTTTCAGGTGTGGTGTGGAGTGGTGTGGGGGATAGGTGGTGGTTTTGAAACTGGATGCGTGGTTTTGTAGAAGTGTCATTTATTCTGCCACCCACCCACAATAGCTCTTGTGGTTAACTTCAGTGATTGGAGTTTATAATGGTTGGAGGTGGTAAGAGCATAACCAGAAAATAAGTCTCTTCTTCTTACTCTCATCAGTTTCTTTTCATTATGAATGAAACACCACATTTGAAAAGTACTGTATAGTACCTACAAACAATTTTCTCGAGGGGGTAGTGTCTTCAAAAAGCCCGCTGGCGTGGCTACACTTATGTTGCAACAATAGTAACCTGTATAACAATAATTATAATTATTAACGTTGTTGTGGTTACTACTGAGTTATTTGTATAGTGAAAAAACTAACGATAGTGACAGTTTATTTTAATCGAGAAATGTTTAAGTCTTGTCTATTCATTCGTCAGTTGAGAAATAGCACAAAAACGTGTGCAATAAAAAAAGAATAATTAAGACATCTTTCATTTCTTTGAGAAAAAAAATATAGAAAATTATTTTGCGGAGGTAGGTAATATATTTTTCATCTGAGAGAAGTGAGATCTTTTTGAGGAGCACGATGACGTCATGCAGAGTTACGTAAGCGTCTAAAAATAGCTACGCCCATTATGATTGGTTACCTGCAAGCCGATAGGCGTGTCCTCGAGAACCGAAATAGGAAAAAATTTCAAAGACATGCTCATTACCTTTTCCAACAAGTATTTTTTTTTCTTTATGACAATTTTTGGCTTAAATATTTTAAAAGGTTATTTTTTTCTGTTTTCGCCGTTTGATCAAATTTCTTATTTTGGAACGAAGCAGAAGTTGAGAAAGTTAAAAAGATGCAAGTTCATTTTGATGATTTTTCACAAATCATTTTTGAGATAGACAAACAAAAACAAGATCTTGAATACATACCGAGTGTTTATTTGCAAAGTTATTTGATAATATCAACGTCCAGATTTCACTGGTCTATCGTTATTATTTACCCAACTTGAATAATAATTGCGACTTTCAACCGTTCGTGTCATGTTCAATTAATTAATTAATTAATTAATTAACTAATCAATATCTTTATTTATTAACTGTACAATTAATTAATTAAATGATCAACTTACGAATTGACAAATACTTCGCAACCATTGCTCAATCGATGTGCGATTATATCATTAGCAATGACAACCGAAAAAATTACATACAGGTTCATTGAATAAAAAATAAATTAATCTATAAAGAATTTGTTAAAATAAATCATGAAAGGAAAATATAAAAAAATGTACACGAAATTAATGTTATGGTCATTACATTGAATGATAAATTTGTATCTAGAACATAAAATGTAGAAATTCTGTAGAAAAAATTGTTAGTATAGAGAGTAGAGAACATAAACGTAAACATAAACAAGTCTGTAGCAGAAGATAAACGAAATACAAACACGTACTACATGAACGGACAAAATCTCATACAAAATACAAAAATATATACAAACGAATATGCGACGAAATTGCAAAAACTTAATACATATACATTATTAAGTGAAAACACATACAAAAATTTGATACAGATACAAACATATACATAATCAAATACAAAATACATACAAACACGAGAGAGTAATTTGTATGTAATTCACCAGGCATTTTAATGATTGACAGGTGGCAATGATGAAAATAAAAATACAACTATACACGACAACTGAAGTAAAATGAAAATTTGATCAATAAGATGCAGTAAAACACGCAGATAAAGATACAAAGATATAAACGCACTGATACTTACACGAGCATCAACTCTCAAAACAGCCATACCCAAACATACATACACTAAGACACGCGCACACATACACATAGAAAAACATTTTGTGAGACATACAGTCACACACACACACACATACCACATACACACATAAGAACAAACAGCCTATTAAAATCAATTACACGGCAAGAAATGAGTTCAGTAAAATATTGACGAGAATAAATCTAACAGCAATCATCCTATTCAAAAGTTCAGTAAACAATTGAATAAAACCAGTGTGGGTATTTGGTATTTGTAGGTATGCATGCATGCAAGTATGTATGCATGCATGTGTGCGTGTATGTATGATATATGTGTGTACGTAGCTAGTTAAATGCAAATCACTCTGCTGAATTAATTCTGAGATAAACAAATAAAAATTCAGTGCAATTGAATAAATAACAATGCTACAAACGCACAGGTACACACACGTACATAATATATATACACACACACACAGTACACACACGCACGCACACACAACCACACGCCTACAGACCTACATACATTTAAAAATAAATCTCAATAAGCCTCTGGTCTGCAGCTGTGTAAATTTCAGCAGTCCTCATTTAATGGATGACGAATGCATGAATGACTGAGCGAGTCAATGAATGAATATAAAAAAATAAATGAATGAATATATGAATGAATGTACGAACGAATTAAAGAATGAACGAATGAATGAATGATCCAGTTGGTCCAATTTCTCAATACAAATCAGCTTGAAAATTAACTGCATATACTTGTATATCTAGAATATGGTATTACGAACTAAGAACATAAGTGCACACACACACACACACACACACACACACACACACAAACACATATGTACAGTTAACAGAGCTATTTCTTCCCCATACCAAATGAATATTAAAAAAGTGAACTTTAATATCAAAAAAGAACTAAACGAAACCATGAAAATACAACGACGACAATAAACAGAAAGAAAGTAAAATGGATTATAAATCAGTTTCGATGACGTCATCTTTCTCGTTATAATAACCATCTGCATGGCCATTAATGATATGAATGACGACTTTACCATCATCGTTATCACCACCACCACCGCTACCACCACCACCACCACAACCACCACCACTAATAACAGAATCATTACTATCACCAGCAGGATCGTTACTACGACGACCATTATCATCGTCCTCATCGATGTATATAGCATCTTTGACTAGTTCGTATATATGCTGTCTTACTAATTTTATTGGTTGCTGTGATGTTGTTGTTGTTGTTGTTGTTGGTTGATGCTGCTGCTGTTTTTGTTGTTGTTGTTTATCTGTTGATGATGATTGTGATGTGAGATGATGATGATGACGTGGTCGTGACTTTGACGGTGATGATGATGATGAAGAGGAGGATTGTTGAACGTTTGGCTTATTATCATCGAGATTGTTGATGGTTGGGTAACTGCTATCAACTTTGTTGCTAATGTTGTTGATGATGTTGCTCTTAATGTTAATGTTGTTGCTAATGTTGAATTTGCTGTTGTTGTTGTAGTTGTCAACTTTGACGTCGTTGATGCCATAGCTGCTCTTTTCCATGTTGTAATTGCTGTTGTTGACGTTGCTATTATTGGTGACTTTCACGAAGCCATTTTTCAACATTGTGTTTTTCTTTGGTTGCTGCTGCTGTTGCTGCTGTTGTTGTCGCTCAACGTCACTGGCAACGTAGAACCTAGACCTGCCCATGGTTATTGCACTGTTGTTTCGGTGTTCGTACTCACTCTCGCTGGCAGTAACGCAAAATATGAAAGGTGTCGTCCTGCGGTTATTCCACTCCAGTTTTGGAGAGGCAGATGCTGGTTGGTGGGTTATGAATTTCGGAGAAGATGACGACGACGATGATGATGACGATGGCGGTGATTGTGATGGCTCTTTCGGTATTGATAATGATGTCGTTGCGGTTGATGTGTTTGCTGTCGTTGGGCTTTTTGACGCGGTGCGAAACGATGCTCTGTTGCATGTTGTTGCTCTGTTGTTGTTGATGTTGTTGTTCGTTGCTGTTGCAGGCTTGGAAAATAATCTGGAAGTTGAGTAGGGTTGTATAATGTAATCTTTATCTAAACCATCACTGTTGTTGTTGTTGTTGTTACGTCTGTTGTAGTTGATGTTGTTGTTACTTATACTAAATTTATTTTTGAAATATTTGTTGTTGTTGTTGTTGTTGTTGTCTTCATTTGGTTTGTCATTTTTCAGCCACCATGGTACCTTCATGCTTATTGGTGCAGGCAAATAAAAAGCTGAATGATCATTGGTTGGTGCACAAGCAAATGCAGAATGCTGATTAGTGGAGAGACTCGCTCCGTTTAATTCTAAATCAGCTGGAACAGGTTCATAATTTGAATCGTCAAACTCATCACCGACTACATCATAAATCGATACAATATGATTGGAAGTCGAGCCACCATTTAAATACGAAATAGCTGTGTTTTGATTGGTCAGCATATTTAAATTATTAAAAGGTGGCTGGTGACTGGTCAAGCCGTTGAAAAGTGATTGATGATTGGTCAATCGATTGAATGCTGACGTGTGTTGATTGGTCGGTTGGAGAGTACTTGATGGATGGTTGATTCTTGCATAGCCTGGTTCGGTCCTGTATTTCAACAAATTTGATCTGTCGTTGCTGAGTCGTGATAGGCTGTTGGAATTATTATTATTATCATTGTTATTATTATTATTATTGTTGTTAAATTTTTTATTGACTGGCAATATAGTGGTATTGTTAGTGGCTGATGAAGAAAAATTATGGTTTTTATCTAATAATTTGTTGTTGGTTTTGCTGACGTTGTTGTTGTTGATGTGATTGTTGTTGTTGTTGATGTGATTGTTGTTGTTGTGATGTGAGTTGTTGTTGTTGTTATGATGTGAGTTGTCAATGTAAGTTTTCGGTCGCTGTTTGTTCACAGTTGAGTATAATGGTTGATGGTTGTTGTGAGTCGTTGCTACTAAATTGTTGTTGTAACTTGAGGGTCTGATGTGATTGATGTTGTTGTTGTTGTTGCTGCTGCTGTTAATGTTTAATCTTTCACTCCTCAGCAGAAATGATGATGACGATTGTTGCATATGTTGTTGCTGGTGGTGGTTCAAGGTGTTGCCGAATGATCTGGATGTCGTCAAGGATGTTGATGTCGTTGTAATGTTGTTGTTGCCGTTCAAATCTGTTTTGTTGGCAACAGTGAAATTAAAAGGAAAGTTGCTTAAATGAACATAAATGAAGCAACACTACTAAAAATGAGAAAAAACAACAACTAAACAACAAGAATGACACCAAAATTAACAATAGCTACAACCACACCTCTATCTCTGACGTCACAACCGTTAACATTATTGTTGTTGTTATTGATGTTGTTGTTGACGTTGTTAATGGAATGAGTGGAAGATGACATCGGCAGGACATCAGAGACTCTTGCATACATGGAACTACGGGATGAATTTTGACCTGCAAATGTTTACAAGCCATCACCATCATCATCATAATCACCATCATCTTCATCATCATAATCACCTTCATCATCATTATCATTATTATCATCACCATCATCACAATCACTTTCATCATCGTTATCATCACCATCATCATAATCACCTTCATCACCACCATCACCATAATCACCTTCATCATCATTATCATTATTATCATCACCGTCATCATCACCACCACCATCATCATCCTAGATATTATTATTATTATTATTGTTTTGGTTGTTGTTGTTGTGGTTGTTATTAGTATTTCTGTTGTTACCTGTTCCAATTTCAGCGTATATATCGCTGCCAGCAGTGCAGTACACGTGGTCGACCAGGGCAAGGGATGGAATGGACGCTCGGTCGTGGTTGGGGGATGATGACGTCATTGTCGTCTGGTGGGCGCGACGATGATGATGGTGGTGGTAGAGATTGTAGTGGTTGTAGCTACCACACTGAAGACCATATCAATACAACACCAATCAATGAATCAATTAACCAGCCAGCCAGACAGTCAGTTAACTAACCAACAAATTATTCAATCAACTATGCAACCAGCCAACTAATCAATCATGCTCCCAATCATTCAACCAACCAGGCAATCAAACATTCAACCAGCCATGCAACAAATCAACTAAACATTCAACCAACCATTCAATCCATTCTGCAACCAACCAATCATGCAATCAGCTATTCAACCAGCCATTCAACCCATTCTGCAACCAACCAATCAACCATTCAACCAACCATGCAACCAACCAACCAACCTTGACTTGATCGTAGTTAATGGTATCATACGTCTCATCCTGAGACTCATGCATCGTCGACATCATCATCATACTCGCCATCATAGCCCTCTCTCTCTTCCTCAGATTCTCTAATGACTCCCTGGCCGTCACACTCGAATAATCAGGAGTTCGGAGATCGACGTTTGCCGTAGCAGTAGCTTGGAGTGTAGCTGCTGTGGCTGCTGCTGCTGTTGAAGTTGCTGCTGCTGAGACTGCTGTTGATGATGATGATGATGGCTGTGTTTCTTCCTCTGCAGGAATAAATGGTGTGATGTTTAAATGCCGGAGTCGGTTAGTTGGCATACGCTACAATGCGTTATGTTATATTTTGCTGGTCGGTGTCGAATTTAGTTTAGAGAAAAAATTTGTTTAAGTGAAAATTGATAGTTTTGCGAGAATGATTTTTTCTACTTGTTACAAACAATCATTTTGTTTCATCGAGCAATCCAAAGAAACATTGGTGCATCTGTTTTCAATGGCATTCTGTGTAAATGAGATTCGATAGCAAACTCATAACAAGCAACTGAATTAAAATCTTTGCTTATTGACTGCTAATTTCAACCACACACACACACACACACACACACACACACACACACACACACACACACACACAATCACACACACACAGACACACACAAACACACACGAGTACACCCAGACAGACACGCACGCACAAACACAGGAAGTATTTTTCAAACATGTATAATGCTCATAGACAAGAAATTCTCAATACTGTTTCTGGGTTTTCACAAGAAATTAGAAGATAACAAGGAGATGCCGTAAATTAACGACATCTGTTTCGTTTTGTTTGCTACTCCATACATCACTGTGCTACCCTATTCAAGGTTGGTAAAAAAAACTCAGAGAAAAACAAAACGAATCTGAACAACGAAACAAATACGAACAACACTATCTGCAAGCAACAAACCAACCGTCTGGATCGTCGGCATCATTATTTCTCCTCATCATTCCACCACCACCTGACAGCATGTTGTTGTTGTAGTCATCTACGTTGTTGTTGTTGTTGTTGTGGTTGTTATCACGGTTGATGTTGTTGTTTTGCAGGTTAGTGTTGTTTGGCAAATGGCCGTTGTTTCTGCTACTGTCAAAGTTGATGTTATGACTGTTATTGAAATGATTATTATTATTGCTGCTGTTGTTGATGTTGGTAATGAAATGGTTATTGTTGTTGTTATTGTTGTTATTGTAATTAGCACCATTATAAACGAATCTTCCGTTGTGTTTATTAGTTGCACCACTGGAGCAAAAATCATTTCCGGAATTTAAGTAAGTTTTACTGCTGTAGCTGTCGAGTAAAACAGCAGAGCAACTATTAACATTGTTTGTCGGTTGACCATTCAATGTTGTTGTTGTTGTTGTTGTTGTGTGGTTGTTGTTATGTTTGTTGTTGTTGCTGCTGTTGTAGAAGATGTTGTTGCAATTATTGATGTTGTTGCTGTGTTCTGAGAGGTTGTTTCTTGGTGGCAGAGAAGGGCTTGGGTTCATGAACAAAAATGGAGAGTGTTTGGATTTTGGGATGTTGTTGCCGACTTTGTTGTTATTGTTGTTGTTACTTTTATTGTTATTGCTGTGATTGTTGCGATTGTTAGTGTTAGAATCAGGTATGTGATGAAATGTTGTATTATTATTATTACTACTACTATTACAACTGATCTTAGTGGCATTTGTTAACAGCCTGCTATTATTAATATTGTTGTTGTTGTTGCTGCTGCTGCTGATATTGCTGTCAGCGCTATTTTTGAACTTGACAGAAAAAAAATCTTTCGTCGGGGATATGAGAGAAACGGTACCTACCGGAGATTCAGACAAAGAGATTGTTTACAAAATGGTGTGTTATTAGCAAATTTAAATTAAAATAAAAAAATAGTAACTAAATGCTGCCTATGTCGTGTTTTACATCAACATACTATGTAACTAATGTAACTAAGTGCTTATGATGGTTTGTCTGCAAGTTGATATTAATCCCATGGATTAAAAACCAAAATTAAAACTAAAATTCCAAAATACTTAAAGGATAGAACAATTTGGAGAGGTGAACAAAAATGTGTTGCACATGTATACAAAGCCTAACCAATGACATTGTGATTCCTACCAGATGATGATGTGGCAAAGAGACTGTTAGACATGATGTTATTAGTTGTTAACGTTCTGTTTCTGTTTTTATAAACACCACCACCATCATCATCATCGTCATCATTTTCATTATTATTATTATCATTATTATTATTAGTATTACTATCAATGCTGTTTATCATATCAATGGGATTGTTGATAGTGTCGCCAGCATTAGCATTGTCGTCATCGTTAACTGTTGAATACAGGCCAGCAAAATCATCATTATTGTTGTTGTTGTTGTTGTTAATATTGTTGTTGTTGTTGTCGTTGTTGTTGATGCTATCAACATCAATGCCATTGTAGAAAGCTGCAGTTGATGTCATCGTAGTCGTTGTGGCTGTTGTGGTTGCCGTAGTGGCATCAGTGTTATTAGTGTCTCTCACCTATTTTGACAATAATAAAGTTATATGTATTGCAACTATACCAAAAGCCAATAATAATTTTTTTTTATTTACAAATAATTAAAAATTAAAAAATAATATGTGAAATATTCAACAATAAAAATAATAATTAATACCCAACAAATAGATTACCATTTAAGATATTAAAACAGATTTGATTGATAAATTTAATGATAATATTTTTGAGAACAAAATAAATCATAATAAAAAGTCATAATAATAATAATAATAATAATAAATCCTAATAAATAAATGAATAAATATATAATAATTATAACCTACGATAATAATCCACATTAAAAATAATAGTATCAAATATAAGTATGCCTAACATAATAGAAATAATAATAAATATAATATATGAGTCTGAAAATCAGATCATCATTAAAATCAACTTGGAAGTTGAATTTTTTTAGTGAAATAAATAGATAAAAATCATAGGTACTAAAATTTCAAATTTTATGGGCCAACTTATTGCTAATAAAGAAAAAAAGACAGAAAGAAAAAGAAAAGATGGAATGGAAAAAAAGAGAAAATGAGAAGAAATGAATGAATGAAGAATATAAAATTAGATAGATACAAATATTATGCTAAGAAGTTAAAACATAGATCTCAAAATATATCAACAATGTTTGTAATAAATACAATTGAACAAATAACTAAGAAATTACATGAAAAAAAACGCCCAAACAACCAGTTAGACACAACCAGGCAGACAGCCAGCCAGCCAATTAGCTAACCAATGTAAACAAAAGAGACCAACTATCCAACCGAATTATCATTCAGACAACCAACCATGCAACTAATCCAAAAACCACCCTGACTACCCACCTTTTCATATGGATGGGACCACTTCCTCCTACCTCCTCCCAATCTGGCATCATCACCAGCACTACCTGCCCCTCCTCCAGCAACACACCCACCAACAACTCCATTACAATTCGTTGATTGCATCTTCTTCGACTTAGAGATGATGTCATAGATGCTGTCGTCATCTTCATCCTCCTCATCCATGGACGCCATGTTGCGGGATGAACTCGAGGCAGGAATTTCAGGCAGGGCTCGATCCGGACCCCTAGTTGTTAGGGGGGATGCAATTTAAAATTTTGTAGGTAGGAGATTGTTTGTCATTAATTCATAGTTTGTCATTAGAACATGAAATGATGCTAAAATTTAAACTCTTTCATTCAAACAAATATCCACCTTGAATACATTTTAACAAACATTCAAAAGATATAAATTTAAAAACAGATAATGTACGAAAAAAGTAATTAAATTGAAATACTGAACAAAAACTATCAAGTAGAATTAAAAAAAATTATCAAGCAAAAAATCTGAATGTAGAAGATTAAAATTAACAAGCAGACTTACGGTGGTCGACTGTTAACTTCGTTCTCATCAACATTTTCATCCTGACATAGTTGGAAAAATATTTCAACAAGGTTAATTTTTAGGTTCCAGCAATGTTAACATAAAAAAATATTACCAAAAAATAATGAGATATCAAATTGAATTGAATTTATTCTTATTAACTCTACCTGTGCAACATTCTGGCTATTGAAACTGTTCACATTCTGGATGTTGTTGCTATGCAACACTTCGGCCCCAACTTTTGAAGATTTACTTTTGTTTGACTTCCAGCTAGATGAAGTTTAACAAAACTTTGTTTAAGACTGCTTGGAGAAACAGTAATTCAGTAAAACAGTAACTACTAATTATAAAAATTGAAACGGAAGAACACAAAATACTAACTTTTTTCTGAAACAACCCAGCAGACAGAACGACATCGCAATCACAGCAACAAACAGCAAGCAAATGATCTGAAATGAATAGGAAGACAGTGTGCTTAGGTGGAAGAATGAGTAGGACATCGAGGCAATATGGATACGACAGTGATGAATAATTGGCTGATGATGATGTCCTTTTGTTTTAGCTGATGGATTTGTTTGGTTTTGTTAGTGGGACTCTCAAACCAGTTCAAACTCCAGACTGATTTTCATTTTAATTAAGATTCTAGACTTTTTCAATTTTCTAGAATTCTTCAATCTTCAATATATACAATTAAAATTATTTAAAATATAATCTCCTAGGTAAAAAAATCTTCAAAATAAATATTAAATGAAAATAAGAAACCAAGCAACTATCTAAAATTCTTTTTTCAGTTTTTACCATGGACAATCCATGGATGGCAGACAAGAAGATAAATTTTTTTATCCGTCAGATTTTAACTTTGTTAAACAAAATAACAGAACAAAAATAAATTCGAATAATTAGTTAGGAGCCAAGAGGTACAACTTAACTAATTTCATCTCAATTTCAATGAGAAAAAACGATCTACAGACACATACAGTTTAACGTTGTTGTTGTTTTTATTTGCCACCATACTGGTGTCACTAAAAACAGAGTAAAAAATTTTACTTTGAAATTTATCAAACAAGTTTTAAATAAACTATGATATAAAAATTTATTTTAAAATTTATTCATTCAACATTTGATCAAAATGTTAAATTTTATTGAAAATTTTTATAGGTATAAAAATAAATTTTATGAAGAACATTTTAGTTCTTTGCATAAACCTTATCCGGTGCCTGTTTATTCCCGTCCTTTCTCATTTCTTTCCTTCTCGGGCCAGTTTGGCTTGTTCAGCACGTGCTTCCAAGCCGCCCAGATTCTTTTTATGTTTTTTTTTACTCCTGTTCTTATTTAATAGTGCGCGTTGATTTCATATTTTTAATTTTATTTAACTATTTATAATCTTGGATAATATTTTTTTTTCTGATTTTGTCACTGTATTTATAATCTTGAATATTTTCTTTCTGATTTTGTCATTGTGATACGTAGATTGATAGCTCGATGATGACCAGTAAATGACAAGCATATATCTGATATATGTGTGATTGACGTTATTAAAATCTGAGGGCTGATTTATTTTCAATTAAAATGTGTATCGTTGGATTATTTAATTAAATTTTCGTCTAATTTTTAGGCATTCTGATGAATATATGAAAGACAAGCATATATCTGAATTTTGTCTGAATTGATACCCAAATTTCTGAGTGCCTGTACACCAAATTATTTATGTGTTCTATTATCAATTTTTATTCTGCATGTATTACTTTTAAGATTTTTAATGATGTAAAAAATACACGTTGCATGAACATGGCAAAAGCTGTAGGGCTAGAAATAGCTGAACCCACTACAGCTGGCTTTGTTTAATATGCAAGATCTGCCAATGATGGTTGTCTGAAAAAATCAATTCGCTTACTAAATTACTTCAATCTGATTTGTAAAATGCACTAATCGTACTATTATGATGACAAAAGGTGTAGCCACTGTTGTGTAAACTATTCAAAGGCTGCAGAGCTAGAAATAGCTGAACCCACTGTAGTCGGTTTAGTTTGATACACAATAAATGCTGGTGGCAAGCTGTCTGAAACAATCGCGATTCTCAATGTTGTCTAATCAAGAACTGATTTTGCTAGGTCCAGTTTGCAGTCAGTTTATGCAATAGACGTTGATAGTAACTGAATGAATTAAATTCATTATTTACAGATCTGTGTGGCTACATTAAATCAAACATGTCATTAGCTAGGATGAAGCTTCAACTGATGATAAACACTGATTAATTTACATTTTATCCTCTAAGAAGTGCTGAGCTAATGACATTGTTTCAAGATATGTTTTATTTTATATTTTCATAATATTCACGTAATAATTTGAAATAATGTAGTGGATTGATAACAAATCTATCTTCATTGTCACTCAATAAAGTCTTAAAGTCACAATCTTCAACCATGCAACCCAACAAGCACAAAATAGTTTGCAACTGCTCGACACATTCATCATCTTGAATTTTGCTTGTGTGGTTGCAGTTGTGTGTCAAATTGACATCTGATTGTAGAAATGATTGGTGTGCTGTATTTCTTGTTAACATTGAATTCATTCTTTTTGATGATATGCAGTGCAGAAAGTTGAAGAAGTCCATGTAGTCCATGCCGCTATCAGCTCTCAATATCCTCTGAATCAAAAATAAAAAATGTATTTATTTTAAATAATGAGTCAGTAAATTTTTAAAAATGTAAATCAATTTATGTTAAAATTAAACGAGACTGATTTAGAGTTAAATTGATTATTTTTAGCATGCGATCTTGAAAATAAATTATTAATTGATAGCCTTACCTGGCACTGCAGAAGAAAATCTGGCTCCTGTTTGAATTCTTGTATTTCTTTTTGAACATCGAGTAGTCTTGACTTTAAAAATGTCCAACTTTTGCCAACGTTGTATTCGTTAATCCAATTGTGGTTGATGGATATTGTGTCTTCCTTTAAATGTAGAATGGTGTACTTATTGGATCATTCCATTTATTCTAAATGATAAAACAAACCTCATTATAAACTTCATGAAACCATCCACTTGGAATAAATATTATTTCTCCTGCATTTTGAATCACTTCAAATTTTGAGCCATCTTGATTTTTTTCATTAGCATGTGGACCCATGGGCTGACAACCTCAGAAAAATATGCAGTGCATTGTTAGAAGCATCAAAAGCATTAAGATATTTTAATTTATAAAGATTATAATTCAAAATCTTTTCACAATCTAACTAATTGCTTACCAGGGTAATATATAACCCATCTCTTCTTGCCACAAACATTAGCTGACCAGCTGTACGACCTCAAGACGTCTGCATGGAGAGGAGTCCTAACCAATGATAAAAAATAGATTTCAGTGCAAAATTTGAACCAAGTGTTCCTAATTATTAAGTTTAAAAATATTAATTTACTTTACATACTTACCATGAGCCTTTAGGTCCTATGTATACAAATTTATAATCATCTTCCTTGTCCTCCCAAAATTCATTCAACCAGTCTGACTTGAAATACAGTGGAACATCGTAAAATTTGTAATCAGGGAACTGTCTTAAGAAAAATGTTCAAAATGAAATCAAATGAGACATTTACACTGTCAGACTGGAGATATTTAAATTAATATAGTACGATAATACAAACTATGCATCACTTTGTGCAATGCCAATCTTTCAGGTAGTAGCAAAGGTCCTTGCTTTGTATGCAATTGACAAATTCTGAAAACTTCATTTTTAATACGGTGACTGAGTCATAGCCATAAGATTTGTTTGTGCATTCCACAACTGGCACTTCAGCATCAGCTTTATGTGCATGTTTTAGTAAGTAATCACCATAGTTAATTCGTGTAATAGGCACATGTTTATCATTATTGATAGTTATTATATGAGATGATCTTAAAGACTTACTGCTATGGCAAATAAATTTTTGTTACTCAAAGATATCATAACAAATAATAATTTTATATTTAACTATTTAACACACCTTGACAATGCTAAAAGGGTCATATCATATCATAGTTCATACAGCTTCTACTAACAAAATATTGTACATATTCATATAATTATAGTGTACAACTGACATTAAAAAGATTTTCATTGAATTGCTGTGTGAAAACCATTTTTAATGAATATTTTTTTATTATAAATTATATAAAATATAAATTACTAATAAAAAATTTAAAGATGTTATTAATTAATTTATTACTGACACTTACAGAATAAATTCCTCAGAGCTTGCCAATCTACTTCGCCGTTTTCCTTCACCCATTCCCTTCTCGATCTCCACTGATCAGTGAATGATTCACAGAGCATGCACGGTATATTCAATTTTAAATAATTTTCTGAGAAATCTGCATAAGATATGTTCCAAGATTTCGCAATTTTATCGATTCCAAGAGATCTTATGCCGTCAATTTTATTTAAATAATTCTCTGAAATGTTAGCCGCCATTTTAACGAATTCAAATGTTTCGGTGGTAATATGAAAATGCGTAACGATGCAAAGTTTAGGAGCCTACAATCCGCAAAAGTTTTTAGCAGCCAGCCATTTTTTTAATGTTTATCATAGACAAGTAAACTACAAACTTAGCTGGGATTTGTGGTATTTCTACATTGAACAACTAATAAAATCTATATTAATTAATTAATTAATAATTAATTAATTATTACCTAATACCCATACTCATATAAAAGTAATATCTAACATTTATAATCAATATAATACTAAAGATACACCCATAATCAAGGGGAGGCCTATTTACCATTAAACAACACTTTCTTATAGGTTGAAGCAGGGATATGCAAAGAATCTCAATTTTTGCAACTTTTAATTATTTTCGGTAATGTTGATTTTATTTGTTTAAATTTATACCAAATAAAAGTAATTAATTACCATATTGAATAACAATTTAAAAAAATAAAATTTTAACATTTTAAATAAAAGAAATATTCCGTAATTAGTAAATACACTATCGTAACTTTTGACTCGAACCTCATCCTTCATCTCCCCTCCAGAAGTAAGCTCCTTGTTCAACCGTTGAAAGTGAGCGAAGGCCGTTATATTTATTCTAGTTATATGTATCAAACAGTATCTTATTGAACAAAATAGTATCATAAAATAAATAAAGATACTTTTTTTTAATATAAAAAATTCTCAATTTGATTTCATTGCGATATCGATGATGATGATGATTGTGACCTGACTAATTAAAAAACATCAAATAAAATTTATAATAAATTATAAATTTGAACTGCGTGCGCACATATGTAGCACTGATAACTGTTGCGTTTATAATGAATTTATATACTATATATATACAAAGCGAGCAAAATTTTAATATAAAAGCGCTTATAAATCTATGCATATTAGATACCTTGGCTCGGCTGGCTTGGAATTGGATGTTAAGCAAGGTGTGGTCTCAAACTATTTGGAATTCTTGCAGAAAAATTTGAACTGCGTGCGCACATATGTAGCACTGATTACTGTTGCGTTTATAATGAATTTATATACTATATAGTCTATATAAAGCGAGCAAAATTTTAATATAAAAGCGCTTATAACTCTATGCATATTGGCTCAGCTTGCCTCGACTCGGCTTGGAATTGGATGTTAAGCAAGGTGTGGTCTTAAACTATTTGGAATTCTCACAGAAAAATTTGCGCACATATGTAGCACTGATTACGACTGTTTCGTTTATAAGGAATTTATATACTATATATATAAAGCGAGCATAATTTTATTATAAAAGCGCTTATAAATCTATGCATAATGGCTCAGCTTAGCTCGGCTAGGCTTGGAATCGGATGTTAAGCAAGGTGTAATCTCAAACTATTTTGAATTCTCCCCGAAAATTTTGAACTGCGGCGTACATATGTAGCATTGATTACTGTTGCAATTATAATGAATATATATATATATATATATATATATATATATATATATATATATATAGATATAGATATATATATATATAAAGTAACTAGAATTCATGTATACAAATAATTAATAAGATTATATGTTTTATATAAAAAGCAATATAGCAGATTCAACCAGCCAATCAGGAAATTTCGAAGGCGTTCGTTCGATGACGTCAATTTAGTACTGTTGGCATTGTGGTTAAGACTGTATAATACTGTAGTACATACATTAAATAAGTTTTTTACTGATGTGAATGATTGAAATGATGAAAGTGTATGGTTGAAACGAGTATAAATAGGAGCTGAGAAAACGTGAAAATCAGATCAGGCATTCTGCCTCGCATGAAGCAGTCTGCCTGATCTCATTTATTTTATTTTTTTATTTTTATTTATTTTATTTTATAGAGTTATATGGAGTTTGCATGCCTGTGGTTTGTGTGATTGTATGTTGTATTTTTTTATATTTTAGGTGGGTTCTTTAGCGGTTGCTCATTACATACATACATCATGTTTGTTTGTGTGGTAGTATTTTATGTTCTGTTTTACTCCTTTTTCTCTTTCTTCATGAGTCTTAAGTTAAGTTAATGAAATATAGGTAGGTGAGGTAAAAATTAATTTATTATATAGGTAGGCTAGGGCATAAGGTAATTTAGTTACATAGGTAGGTTAGGGACTTCTATTCTTTTACTCTACTTGGTGGTGTGTTTTTTGCTTTGTTTTTTTCTATTTGTTTCACATCATACAAATAACAGGTACGCGGTGGTTCCTGGTTTTAGTAAGATTTTTATTGATTGAATGTGGTGGTATGTATGGTTATATAGAGTTATATAGAGTTACATAGAGTTACATAGAGTTACATAGAGTTACATAGAGTTACATAGAGTTACATAGAGTTACATAGAGTTACATAGAGTTACATAGAGTTACATAGAGTTACATAGAGTTACATAGAGTTACATAGAGTTACATAGAGTTACATAGAGTTACATAGAGTTACATAGAGTTACATAGAGTTACATAGAGTTACATAGAGTTACATAGAGTTACATAGAGTTACATAGAGTTACATAGAGTTACATAGAGTTACATAGAGTTACATAGAGTTACATAGAGTTACATAGAGTTACATAGAGTTACATAGAGTTACATAGAGTTACATAGAGTTACATAGAGTTACATAGAGTTACATAGAGTTACATAGAGTTACATAGAGTTACATAGAGTTACATAGAGTTACATAGAGTTACATAGAGTTACATAGAGTTACATAGAGTTACATAGAGTTACATAGAGTTACATAGAGTTACATAGAGTTACATAGAGTTACATAGAGTTACATAGAGTTACATAGAGTTACATAGAGTTACATAGAGCATAAATCCTATATAGATACCTTTCTTTGAGGTTCTTTTCTTTGCCGACCGGTCGGCTTCTTTGCGTTTCTCTATTTTCATTTTAATTAATTAAATAAATAAGATTTGTCCATTCATTTAGATTCTTTCAGGTTCATTCATTCAGGTTTAAGCTTCCGGAGGAGTTCATCGTGGAAGATCAGAATGGTTGTGATGTCATGCTACGTTCGTTCATTCAGTGTCAAAGATTGCACGCCTGGCTGGGGTTCGTTTTACGGTTTCTTTGCGGATTCTCTTTTTGCCAATTGGCTGGCTTTTCCGGCTGGCGGGTTTCACCGCGGCTCGTTTCTCTATTTTTATTTAAATTAATTAAATAAATAAGATTTTTTCATTTCATTCAGGCTGAAGCTTCCAGAGGAGTTCATCATGGAAGATGTCAGGCTACGTTCATTCATTCAGAGGCAAAGAATACACGCCTGGCTGGGATACGTTTTATTCTTTTTTCTCTATAATTTAAAAATAAGTAAGAATGCTTACACGCACACACACACACACAATTACATTAAGTAGCTATATAGGTAGGTTAGATAAGCATAATTTTAATTGTAGGTAGGATAGATAGGAAGCATCCAACACTAATGTAGTTGAATAGGTAGGCAGCGTAAGTTTATCACTTCTATTTTTTCTTGCATCTACATTACACGCATTAGCGTATTACACACACACACACAAACAAACACATACATAAACACATATATTAGTATTTGAGCGTAATTTTATTTTCAATACACATTCTAATTTATTATTACTAAGGTTGAGAGTAATTTAATTTCATAGGTAGTTAAGGGCAATAATGTAATTCTAGGAACAATCTTGTAATGTAAATTAAAACGCTGTATGTGTATCGATAGGTAGGTTAATTATAAGTTTTATATTATTATTATTATGTTGGAACCCAAGGCATTACGTAGGTGGTGGGGTGGGTGCCGAAAGGCCAATGAATTGGGCTCTTGAGTTTTTTTAATTTTAGTTAAGTTAAGGCCATAATGTAATGAATAGGTAAGTTAAGGCTACGTTGTAACACATACTCATTAATAAATTTAGGGTTTAAGTTTTATATTATTATTACTAAGTTGGAGCCCAAGGCATTACGTAGGTGGTGGGGTGGGTGCCGAAAGGCCAATGAATTGGGCTCTTGAGTTTTGTAATTTTAGGTAAGCTAGGGTTTAATTTTAATGAATAGGTAAGCTGAGGGTACGATAGCCGATAGACTCTGAATTTCAAAGTCCGTTGTCAGAGGTAAGCCTTGGTGGCCAGTGGTGAACTGGCAATGGTTTACTATCCGGACGGCAATGGTTTACTATCTGCACGGTAATGATTTACTATGCGGCATGGCCATAGTCTACTACCCGCACGGCTTCCGGACGGCAAATGGTTTACTATCCGCACAGCAATAGTCTACTATCCGCACGGCAATGGTTCACTATCCGGTGCCCTGGCTGTCGGTGAACCTCTGTGCAAAGGAGGGAGAATGAAGGGGGACTTTCGACTATTGTACCATTAACAATTTAATATAGATTAGTTAAGGTAATTTAATAGGTAGATAGGATTATTTTTATTAAGCATTTTGAGATGCAGGCACTGCTAAGCTTTCTGATGAGAATTTTCTCTTTCTCCATTCCACGGGCTGTGTTTCAACAACAATCTCGAGGAGGACTGGCACCAGTTTTGGAGAACAACGTAGGAACCGGAAAGCATTCAACATTCTGCCTTTGTCGAATGGACGACGGTAAGTTTTTTTTACATTTTAATCTCTTTATTATTTTCAGTTATTATTTATTTGCCATTATTTCCATTTTATAATTTTTTGCTTCTAAGATTCTAACATTCATTTACTAATACGCTAATAAAAAAATTGTCTACAGAATGATGAGAGGTGGGCAGTGGTGGGAGTCAGCACGTTTCAGATGGTGGTCTCATGATGATTTACGTATGATGGTGTGGTGTAGGAAGAATCAGCGCGTTGGCTGTTCGACTGACGCTCAGAAGTTTGGATGAAATCTTGTGTGCCGATCTGAATGTGGTGGTCGGTGCGGTCGGTAACGATGATTTTTGAAGTAAGGTTTAGTTTCGTTTTTTTTATTTTTCTCATTCATTCATTTTTTTCCTCAATCTTTCAAATTATTCTTCCATTAATTGACGTTAATTCGTTCTATTCATTCATTCATTCATTCATTCATTCATTCATAACTTTTTACAGAATGATGAGAGGTGGGCTGTGGTGGGCGTCAGCACGTTTCACATGATGGTCTCATGATGCTTGTTCCGATGACAATTTGAAGAAAACAACAACGACGATTTTTGAAGTATGGCTTAGTTTTTTTTCAAATTTTCTCATTCATTTTATCACTATCTTTCAAATTATTCCTCCACTAATTGATTCATTCTATTCATTCGTTAAATCATTCAATTCATCATTTATTCGTTCGT